CATTAAGTTTGGACTCATTTTAAAGGTTTTTTAATGAAGATGACAAATATGTCAAAATTGACGTTGACGTTTCAAACCGGAAGTGATTGTATTTCCATTAATATTAAAGTTAAATATGTCGAGTTTGGACTCATTTTAAAGGATTTTTTATGAAGTTGACAAATATGTCAAAATTAAAAGTTGAACCTTTTGTCAAGTGATGTATAACGTGGTCCAATTAAGAAAATAATTAAAAAATAACCCAAATTATTTTATTTTTTTATAGTAAATTTGTAACAGTAGAAGAAGTATTACAAGCAGCAAAATACATGGTAGCTTTACAAATAGCGCGAGAACCTTTAGTTAGAAAATGCGTAAGAGAAGTGTTTTTTGAGCGCGCAAAAATTTCAATTCACCCCACAAAGAAAGGTATAAAAGAAATTGATGAAACCCATAATTGTTACACGTTAAAATACGTTAAAGATAAGCCAGTTCGTGATTTAACCAACGAACAATTCCTTAAATTATCCTTAGCAGAAGAAGAACAACTCATAAAAATCACGATAAATGAATCAATCGAAGGTAGCACATCAAATTCGTACATCGACGAAGTAAAGCAATTATACATTAAAGACGAATTTAGCAAAAATGTCCAAGATTGGAACGCATTGCGAGTCGAATGCGTCGAAAGGGCTTTAACGCGATGCATTTTCCCCGACTTAAAAATGGAGTTAAAAAGAAATTTGTTAAACGAAGCGAAAGAGGCGGTTCTAAAAGCGTGTTGTCGAAAATTATACAACTGGATTAAATTCGCTCCGTATAAAACCGAATTTCCTGAAGAAGAAGACGACGATTGGGATACTTCGAAGGGTGTTAAAGTGATGGGGGTTGCCTACGTACCTGATTACACCCAATCAGCTTTTACTTGCATCGCGAGTCCCGATGGTGACATCACCGATTATTTGCGTCTCCCACATTTATTGAAACGTAAAAATAGCTATCGAGATGATGAGAAGTTATTAAAAGAATCCGATTTAGCGGCGTTAAGAAATTTTATAGCAACGAAAAAACCCCACGTAATCGCCATCGGGGGGGAATCCCGCGAAGCTTTGATGTTAGTGGAAGATTTCAAAGGGATAATAGCCGATTTAGTCGAATCGGAACAATTTCCAAACATTTCGGTGGAAATCGTCGACAACGAATTAGCCAAAGTTTATTCAAACTCGCATAAAGGAACCGCCGATTTTCGCGAATACCCCGAATTATTACGCCAAGCGATCTCAATCGCACGGAAAATGCAAGATCCTTTAATAGAGTATTCGCAATTATGTAACACCGATAACGAAATTTTAAGTTTGAGATATCACAGTTTGCAAGAACAACTTCAAAAGGAGGAATTATTAGAGAATTTGTATTTGGAGTTTGTTAATCGGACGAATGAAGTTGGTGTTGATATTAATTTGGCGGTTCAACAGGCGCATAAAAGTCATTTGGTGCAGTTTATTTGCGGATTGGGGCCGAGGAAGGGGCAAGCTTTGTTGAGGGTTTTGAAACAGACTAATCAGCGATTAGAAAATCGTACTCAATTGGTTACTGCGTGTCATATGGGGCCGAAAGTATTTATTAATTGTTCTGGATTTGTTAAAATTGATACTAATAGTCTTGGAGATAGGTAAGTTTTTTAAATTCAATTAATTCTTGGTTCTTGTGTTTTCTCTCTTTTTCTTATCCTTATACTTTGTTTCAAATACCTTTTTTACTGTTGTGTTATGTTCCATTCTAATTATGTCTCTTGATCTACTCCTAGTCTTATTTCCTCTTGGAGTGTCCTTAATAAATATTTCTTTCATGTTATTTTTTATTTCAATTTCTTCTATCCATATTTTAACCAATTTCCTTGCCTTTTTATGGTTCTCTGCTATCAGCACTATGTCCTAATTATCTATTTTTACTGGTTCCAAACTTTTATAACTTATTACTGTTTGATATTTATTTGTTCTTCTATTTTTTTATCATTCTGTCCATTAATATTACAAATAACAAGGGTCCTTCATATATTAATAATAATAATATATTAATAACTCACCCTGTATATGAATATATACAGGGTGAGTTATAGTTTCTAAACCGTTTGAGAAAGACAAAAATGTTTTATACAAAAGTTTCCACTTTTTATTACGTAAAATTATTTTCACTTATACAGGATGTCCCATTTAAGCGTAACGGGATTTTTAAAAAATAAATGGAACGCCCTATACATTTTATCATATTATGAATAGAATTAAATTTGCTTATACAACCGTATATGTTACTAACTCATACCGTTCGTAGTTCCTGCGATATTCAATTGTTTTTTCCAAAATGTGTCCATTGCAGGATCTTTTTAAAAGCGATGTAAAAAGGGCATTTTTTCCAATTTTGCCTTGAAACTTTGTCAGATAATAGTCAAAGCCAGTACATAAATGATAGTAACCAAAGATGTTAGATACGCTATACAGCGTGTTCATAAAGCTTAGTTACTTTTGATGTTTTTTTTTTGAAATGGCTTTTTCATAAGTTTTTTAAATGGAACACCATGTATGTTGTGTGCTGGTTGAATTGCCCATCAAGTTATCGTTAATTAATGATAAGTATGTCATATAAAAAAAAGTTCTTATTGTTGTATCATTATAAACAATTTATGTACAACATTTTTTGCTCCAACTCCATTAGTTAGTGAGTTATGATCGACTTTAGTAGCAAAAATCATCAATTTTGATATGTTGTAATTTTCCAGATCCTAGCTAGAATATAATCATAACTGAGCTATATCTGATTATGGATTGTGTATTCTTGCATCATTATCAACAATTTACGTTCAACATTTTTTGCTCCAACACCTTTAGTTATTGAGTTATGATCGACTTTAGTAAATCATCAATTTTGATATGTTGTAATTTTCCAGATCCTAGCTAGAATATAATCATAACTGAGCTATATCTGGTTATGGATTGTGTATTTTTACATCATTATCAACAATTTACGTTCAACATTTTTTGCTCCAACACCTTTAGTTATTGAGTTATGATCGACTTTAATCACGAAAATCATCAATTTTGATATGTTGTAGTTTTCCAGATCCTAGCTAGAATATAATCATAACTGAGCTATATCTGGTTATGAATTGTGTATTTTTACATCATTATCAACAATTTATGTTTAACATTTTTTGCTCCAATACCTTTAGTTATTGAGTTATGATCGACTTTAGTAGCAAAAACCATCAATTTTGATATGTTGTAGTTTTCCAGATCCTAGCTAGAATATAATCATAACTGAGCTATATCTGGTTATGGATTGTGTATTCTTGCATCATTATAAACAATTTATGTTCAACATTTTTTGCTCCAACACCTTTAGTTATTGAGTTATGATCGACTTTAGTAGCAAAAACCATCAATTTTGATATGTTGTAGATTTCCAGATAACATAATCATAACTGAGCTATATCTGGTTATGGATTGTGTATTTTTACATCATTATCAACAATTTACGTTCAACATTTTTTGCTCCAACACCTTTAGTTATTGAGTTATGATCGACTTTAGTAGTAAAAACCATCAATTTTGATACGTTTTAGATTTCTAGATAACATAATTATAATTAAGCTATATCTGGTTATGGATTGTGTATTCTTGCATCATTATAAACAATTTACGTTCAACATTTTTTGCTCCAACACCTTTAGTTATTGAGTTATGATCGACTTTTGTAATAAAAACCGTCAATTTTGATATACAGGGTGTTTCATGAGGAATGGTACATATTTAATATGTTATACTACAAACTTGTGCTCAATTCTCAAAAGTAATTGAGATACAACCAGTTAATGCATAATGGATTTTTTATTCAATTTTGGCATCCTTGCAGCCTTTAATCATGTTATTTTGACTTCCTGGAAAGCTCTCGCAACTCAGCACAATGTTTTCCCTCTCCCATTTATTTGTTATCCAATGTCTTGTAATACTTTTTAACAGTAATTTTTTTAGCTCATGGATCGTTTGTATCCCAAGGTTTATTTTTTCGTTTAGTATTCTTGTCTATTAACGTTTTCTCAAGTTTCTTATCTTCAGTTTTGTTTTCTTGGTATTTCTTATATTCATCTTCATGGTGTCGTTTTAAATGAAGTTTTTTAAATGAAACTTACTTGCACAGTTTGCAATTAGCTTTTGTTTCATCACTTTCGGTTGTTTCGGCCGAAAGTGGTTCTTTCTTTGTTATCTCTTCAGTTGCTATGTCTCTAGTGTCCGTTTTTCATCTTTGAACTTTTCTGCATAAAAATCCTGCCATGTTCAGTGTTAAATTGTTTTTTTTTGGTATTTTAGTCTTTCTTCCTCCTGCCTTAGTTTATTATTATTATAATTTTTACCTCCTCTGACTTCACTTAGTATTTCCAATTAATTTTTTGACAAAATTCCAGCATTCTAGCCCATAATAATTAATTNATATCTGGTCATGGATTGAGTATTTTTACATCATTATCAACAATTTACGTTCAACATTTTTTGCTCCAACACCTTTAGTTATTGAGTTATGATCGAGTTTAGTAGCAAAAACCATCAATTTTGATATGTTGTAGATTTCCAGATAACATAATCATAACTGAGCTATATCTGGTCATGGATTGTGTATTCTTGCATCATTATAAACAATTTATGTTCAACATTTTTTGCTCCAACATCTTTAGTTACCGAATTATGATCGACTTTTGTAACAAAAACCGTCAATTTTGATATACAGGGTGTTTCATGAGTATTGGTACATACATTAATATGTTATAGATTTATTCATTTTAAGCAGAGTTCCTACAAACATGTACTCAATTCTCAAATATAATTGAGATACAATCAGTTAATGCATAATGGATTTTGTATTCAATTTTGGCATCCTTGTAGCCTTTAATCATGTTATTTTATTTGCGACAGCCAGTCCAGTATGACTTCCTGGAAAGCTCTCGCAACTCAGCACAATGTTTTCCCTCTCCCATTCATTTCTTATCCAATGTCCTGTAATACTTATGGAACTATTATTGTATATTCTGGAACAGCTCAGCTATTTTTAACAGTAATTTTTTTAGCTCGTGGATCGTTTGTATTCCAAGGTTTATTTTTTCGTTTAGTATTGTTGTAAAGTTAGTCTATAGTGTCGGTTTTCCATCTTTGCACTTTTCTGCATAAAAATCCTGCCATGTTCAGTGTTAAATTGTTTTTTCTTGGTATTTTAGTCTTTCTTCCTCCTGCCTTAGTTTATTATTATTATAATTTTTACCTCCTCTGACTTCATTTAGTATTTCCAATTAATTTTTTGACAAAATTCCAGCATTCTAGCCCATAATAATTAATTAAATTATTTATTTATTTATTTAGCACGGAAGCTTATGTAGAAATCTTAGATGGTTCTCGTGTCCATCCCGAGACTTACGAATGGGCTAGAAAAATGGCAGTTGACGCTTTAGAATACGACGACGATGAAGGAGCGAACCCGGCGGGGGCTTTAGAAGAAATTTTAGAAACCCCGGAACGTCTCCGCGATTTAGATCTCGACGCATTCGCCGAGGAACTTGAACGGCAAGGTTTCGGCAACAAAAGCATCACTTTATACGACATCCGAGCCGAGTTAAATTCGCGCTACCGCGATTTACGCCAACCTTACGCAGCACCCGGCCCCGAAGAATTATTTGACATGCTTACTAAAGAGAACCCAGAAACTTTTTACGTGGGCAAAATGATTACAGCGATGGTTTCGGGAATAACGCGAAGAAAACCTCAAGGGGAACAATTAGATCAAGCGAATCCGGTGAGAAACGACGAAACGGGGTTATGGCAGTGCCCGTTTTGTTTAAAAAACGATTTTCCCGAGTTATCAGACGTTTGGAATCATTTTGATGCGGGTGCTTGTTGCGGACAAGCAACCGGGGTTAAATTAAAATTAGATAATGGATTATCCGGTTACATCCATATCAAAAATTTGAGTGATAAGCACGTTTCTAACCCGGAAGAACGCGTTGAAATCGGGCAATTAATTCATTGTCGGATGACCAAAATCGACGTTGATCGATTCTCTGTCGATTGCACATCGAAATCGAGCGATTTAGCCGACAAAAATAACGAGTGGAGACCCAAAAAAGATCCTTATTACGACCACGATTCCGAAGAAAAAGAAATGAGACACGAAAGAGAACAAAAACAAAACAAACAAAGACAAACCTACATCAAACGAGTCATTGTACACCCTTCATTTCAAAATATTTCTTACGTTGAAGCCGAAAAGATGATGTCTGCGATGGAACAAGGCGAAATTATAATTAGACCATCGAGTAAAGGGGCGAATCATTTAACGATAACGTGGAAAGTCGCCGAAAAGATTTATCAACACATTGACGTCCGCGAAGAAGGTAAAGAAAACGCGTTTTCTTTGGGGAAATCTTTATGGATTAACGGCGAAGAATTCGAGGATTTAGATGAAATAATCGCGCGTTATGTGACTCCAATGGCGGGACATGCTCGCGATTTGCTTTATTTTAAATATTATAAAGACATGGAGGGGGGGTTAAAAGATAAAGCCTCCGAGTTTTTAATCGACGAGAAAAAAAAGCAACCCAATAAGATTCATTACGTTATTAGCGCGTCGAAAAATTATCCCGGAAAATTCCTTTTATCGTATCTCCCAAGGAATAAAGTTCGGCACGAATTCGTTACTGTAACTCCCGATGGATTTAGATTTAGGGGGCAAATGTTTGATTCGGTGGGTTCGTTGTTTAAGTGGTTTAAGGAACATTTTCGGGACCCCATTCCTGGAACGCCCGGGACTCCGAGGATACAAAAAAGTTATCAACCTGGTGGGGGTGCCACGCCAAGTTTCAATACTGGTTAGTTAAAAAATTTAAAAAAAATTTAATTGGGGTAATTAATTAATTTTTTTTGTTGCAGTGAATTCGGAGGCAATTCAAAGAGTCGCTCAAAACCTCCCTTCGCAATTAATGCAAACTTTATCAGCTGTGGCGAATCAAACTCCGCATTATCCCCACACCCCGACTGCTTTTGGTGCTAACACTTATATAAATACGGTAAGTTACTTATTTAATTTAATTTCATCTCTTTAAAAATATAACTTGTTACGTTTTACGACTATACAGGTGTTTCTGTAAGTCGTTTGATTTTGTACTTTGAAACTGGTTTTTATTTTATAGTGGCCGTCTTCAGAGACTCAAAGTCGAAATCAGATTATTAGTTACTAATTTACAAAATTAAAGTTGAAAAAGTTGTAGAATGAAATTAAGGACGAAATTAAAATAGAATATTCAGTGCTTATTATAGTATTCGACTATCTTCAGGCACAACTACAATAACAAAAAATGTATTAGAAGGGATATAGAACAATCCAGAAATTACCCTAAATATTATGATCTAAAAATATAAAAGCAAAGAACATAAATTACCATCAGAGCGTAATTTAGATATTAAATGTCAAATTTAATAATTTTTTTTAATCAAAAAATTTCATAAATATTATCATATAGTTTTTATATCATATCATAAACTACAATGTCCTAGCTTAAATTTAACATATATATCATATCATTACCATTAAAAATAGAGATGATACGATTTTTTGAAAATATAATGTCATATTTGTAAATTTGACAATGTTTTCTTTAATTCCTTTTTTTCAGGAAATTTTATTAATGTTATGTATAGTTTTTATATCATATCATAAACTAGAATCTCTAAGCTTTAATTTAACATATACATGATATCATTACCATTAAAAATAGAGATGATATGATTTTTTGAAAATATGACGTCATTTTATATTTGCAAATTTGACAGTTTTCTTTAACACTTTTTTTTGAGGAAATTTTATTAATATTATCATATAGTTTTTCTATCATATCATAAACTAGGATCTCCAAGCTTCAATTTAACATCTATATCATATCATTACCATTAAAAATAGAGATGATACGATTTTTTGAAAATATAATGTCATTTGTAAATTTGACAATGTTTTCTTTAATACCTTTTTTCAAAAAAAATTATAAATATTATCATATAGTTTTTATATCATATCATAAACTAGGATCTCCAAGCTTCAATTTAACATCTATATCATATCATTACCATTAAAAATAGAGATGATACGATTTTTTGAAAATATAATGTCATTTGTAAATTTGACAATGTTTTCTTTAATACCTTTTTTCAGGAAATTTTATTAATATTATCATATAATTTTTATATCATATCATAAACTAGAATCTCCAAGCTTCAATTTAACATATACATCATGTCATTACCATTAAAAATAGAGATGATACGATTTTTTGAAAATATGATGTCATTTTATATTTGTACATTTGACAATGTTTTTTTTAATACCTTTTTTCAAAAAATTTCATAAATATTATCATATAGTTTTTATATCATATCATAAACTAGAATCTCCAAGCTTTAATTTAACATATACATCATATCATTACCATTAAAAATAAAGATGATATGATTTTTTGAAAATATGACGTCATTTTATATTTGCAAATTTGACAGTTTTCTTTAATACCCTTTTTCAGAAAATTTTATTAATGTTATCATATAGTTTTTATATCATATCATAAACTAGGATCTCCAAGCTTCAATTTAACATATATATCATATCATTACCATTAAAAATAGAGATGATACGATTTTTTGAAAATATAATGTCATATTTATAAACTTGACAATGTTTTCTTTAAATATTATCATATAGTTTTTATATCATATCATTGCGGTCCAATTATTAATTTAATTGATTTAATTTTTGTTTAGCCATACACCCCAAGTGGACAAACCCCATTTATGACACCCTATCAAACACCTCACACTCAACAAACTCCACGATATGGCCAACAAACTCCAGGGCAACAAATCCCCAACACCGCCCCACACATGAATGGCCCCTTTTTGCATCCAAGCGCTGTAACCCCATCGCAACGAACCCCATCGTATCGAAGCGTAACTCAATCACCCGTTATGCAACCAAGTCCCCATGCTAGGTATAACACATCAAGTAGTGGAGGAGGAGGAAGTGAACATCATCGACAATATGAAGGTAAATCAAAATCAATACAAAAATTAATTAAATTAAATCAAATCGAATCAAATTTAGGTTCAAAAAATTATCATCATCACGCAATTGAATCACCTCGAAATTATCATCACCAAGATCATCGCGGAGGAAGTGGGAGTTACAATTCGGAACGTTCGGGGAGATACTCAAATAGTCAGGAGTCGATGGATTGGCAAAAAGCGGCGGAAGCTTGGGCTCGATCGAAACGGGATGGGGCAACTCCCCGCAGTGAAAGTGGGGGGAAAAATACCCCACGATCGGTGGGGACGCGTACGCCTCGTTTTGAAGAGATGCGCGGAAAAGGGAAAAGTCCCAGATCGATGCGGTCGACGCCAAGGACGAATACGTCCCCACATTCCATGTCTTTGGGCGATGCTACCCCGCTTTATGACGAAAATATTTAAAGAATTCTTTAAAAAAGACGATTTTTATCTTTTTTACTACAGCTGGTATGATAATTATTATTGAAATTGGTTAGGTTTTATGATTGTAGGAAAAGTTATTAGGTTATGTTGTTCTAAATTTAGAACTTTCTTATAAGATATGCAAAGATGTTATGATTTGATAAACCATTTTCTTTTGTAGTTTGTTAACCGGAAGTTATTCGATGTATATAATTTGTTCTTTTTTTTTTAATTGTATTATTGAAGAATAAAGATAATTTTTTTTTTTTTCATTGTATGATGCATAATATTCCAAATTCAATAAATTAGTATTTGAAACGAAGTGCCATCTGTTTTTTGACAACGTAACCATAATTAGTTTAGTTACAGAGACAGTATTTGAGGGTTTGAAACTTGACTAATTAAAATTTATTAAAAAATTAACATAATAATTAAATCTCCTACCTTTCGTTGTAGTTTTTGGGACCATGAAATTACATCGGTGTGTTATTGCAGCAACTTTCTAGTCTTTTCCATCGTATGTGGTAATGTAGAAATTAGGTGATGAAATATCAAGATGTAACACGATCTGAAAATAAACAAAAAATTTATATAAAATTTATATTTGAAGAATTATCTATAAATAAAAATAATTTAGGGTTCCCTACAATGTCACTTTGTAGCATTTCTTGTGTTTATGCCCACAATTCCAATAATGGAATTAGTCACAACGTGATTTTGCAGGCAGCAACATGTTTCCAGTAAACATGCTAATTGTTTGACGAATTATTGTGCCTTGCGGCAATGAAGATTTCTGCAACGACATCAATAACTAGATGGTCGTCAGCTTCAAGTGTTTTCTTTAATACCTTTTTTCAGGAAATTTTATTGATATTATCATATAGTTTTTATATCATATCATAAACTAGGATCTCCAAGGTTCAATTTAACATATATATCATATCATTACCATTAAAAATAGAGATGATATGATTTTTTGAAAATATGATGTCATTTTATATTTGCAAATTTGACAGTGTCTTCTTTAATACCTTTTTTCAGGAAATTTTATTGATATGATCATATAGTTTTTATATCATATCATAAACTACAATGTTCAAGCTTAAATTTAACATATATATCATATCATTACCATTAAAAATAGAGATGATATGATTTTTTGAAAATATGATGTCATTTTATATTTGCAAATTTGACAGTGTTTTCTTCAATACCTTTTTTCAGGAAATTTTATTAATATTATCATATAGTTTTTATATCATATCATAAACTAGAATCTCCAAGCTTTAATTTAACATATACATCATATCATTACCATTAAAAATAAAGATGATATGATTTTTTGAAAATATGACGTCATTTTATATTTGCAAATTTCACAGTGTTCTTTAATACCTTTTTTCAGAAAATTTTATTAATGTTATCATATAGTTTTTATATCGTATCATAAAGTAGAATCTCCAAGCTTTAATTTAACATTTACATCATATCATTACCATTAAAAATAGAGATACGATTTTTTGAAAATATGACGTCATTTTATATTTGCAAATTTGACAGTGTTTTCTTCAATACCTTTTTTCAGGAAATTTTATTAATATTATCATATAGTTTTTATATCATATCATAAACTAGGATCTCCAAGCTTTAATTTAACATATACATCATATCATTACCATTAAAAATAGAGATGATATGATTTTTTGAAAATATGACGTCATTTTATATTTGCAAATTTGACAATGTTTTCTTTAATACCCTTTTTCAGAAAATTTTATTAATATTATCATATAGTTTTTATATCATATCATAAACTAGGATCTCCAAGCTTCAATTTAACATATACATCATATCATTATCATTAAAAATAGAGATGATACGATTTTTTGAAAATATGACGTCATTTTATATTTGCAAATTTGACAGTGTTTTCTTAAATACCTTTTTTCAGGAAATTTTATTAATATTATCATATAGTTTTTATATCATATCATAAACTAGGATCTCCATGCTTCAATTTAACATATATATCATATCATTACCATTAAAAATAGAGATGATACGATTTTTTGAAAATATAATGTCATTTTATATTTGCAAATTTGACAGTGTTTTCTTCAATACCTTTTTTCAGGAAATTTTATTAATATTATCATATAGTTTTTATATCATGTCATAAACTAGGATCTCCAAGCTTCAATTTAACATATACATCATATCATTATCATTAAAAATAAACATGATATGATTTTTTGAAAATATGACGTCATTTTATATTTGCAAATTTGACAGTTTTCTTTAATACCTTTTTTCAGAAAATTTTATTAATGTTATCATATAGTTTTTATATCATATCATAAACTACAATCTCCAAGCTTCAATTTAACATATACATCATATCATTATCATTAAGAATAGAGATGATACGATTTTTTGAAAATATGACGTCATTCTATATTTGCAAATTTGACTGTTTTCTTCAGTACCTTTTTTCAGGAAATTCTATTAATATTATCATATGGTTTTTATATCATATCATAAACTAGGATCTCCAAGCTGTAATTTAACATATATATCATATCATTACCATTAAAAATAGAGATGATACGATTTTTTGAAAATATAATGTCATATTTGTAAATTTGACAGTTTAGATGGTCGTCAGCTTCAAGCAGAAGCTAAAATTACGAAACAAAGACGGACTTTCACAATTGGTGATAGCAACACTAACGAAGAGTCAAATAGTGACAACGAACCTTTGTCAGAAATAGAAAAGAAGTTACCGAAAAAAAGAATTTGGCAAAAATCCGTTCTTATTTCTGGATTTCCGAATTTTGAGAAATTGATGCAATCAGCACCCAATGTGGTGGGAGCTAGGAACCGAATCTTGCAATATAGCACTAGTAAATTCTATGAGGAATGATAAAAAGATATCTCCACTGTGCAGATAATAATAACCTTCCTCTGGGCGACAAATTTGCAAAACTACGAGAATTGATGCAAATGCTGAATTGATAATTTTTGAACTCCAAGAAAGGCTGAGTATTGATGACTTTGGTAAGCACGGTGAAAAACTATTTTGCCTCTGCAAACCTTTTGGGTATTTGATGTAATTTGAACCATACGAATGGTTATCTGAAGTCTTTGGTATGCATACCAATGATAGATAGCAATAGATAAAGAAGAAAATTTGGTGTAGGAGGCGAAAATTTACTATCAAAACTGCTTTGAAGAGATTTAGATAAAAGAAGTGATTCCTTGGAGCTGGGCTCACTTGAACGGATACCCAACAAGACTAAGCTGAACCACAAAGCTAAGGTGGCGCATTCTGAAGCACACCCGTTTAGGGACTTGTGTGAAGGCGAATTATGCCTAATTTCATGTCTCATCACAATATGTGTCAATATCACAATATGCGTATTGCAATACTAATACTGTGATATTGGTTGCATACTTGCAATGATGACGTCGGGTACGATAATTAATTAACACACTGTACTTCCGTTCCGTTTTTATCAATAAAAATAATACCGTGCTACCGAATGTTTGTGACACCCTGTATGTTATTAAAAATATTATTAACTTTAACTATCACTAAAATAGAGATTAAATAAGATAGAAAAATTAAACAAATTCTTATCGTTTCTATAAATATAGGTTAAAGAAATCATCCGATTTCGTCTTATATAACATAAACATCCGCGTTTAAATATTAAAACGTTGATTAAGAACAACGATTAAAATTCGTTTGATGGTTCTCTCGCTCTCTTTCACTTTATATTTATAGTTCGTCCGAACTGGAACTAAAATTAACTCGGAAAAACGTTCCAAAAGCCGAAGACAAAATTAAATTAGTAAGTACATCAAAAAACGATGGGCGGACGTTTTCACGACCCGGTTTACACTACGATTTGTAGTGAAAAAACGCTACAATCAAATGATAAAGGATTTTTCATGCAATTTGTTTATAACACGCTTGAGAGTGTCGGTGATGATTGGATTGAGAACGTTTTTGGATCGTTAACCAACGATAATGAGAGGTTAAGAATTTTATACGAATATGAACCGGTAAGTTAGTTAATATTAATAAATTATTTAATCAAAAAATATATTATAATGTAATAGGCTAAAAGTGTGATTGTGTACACTTTAACGCACGTTCAAGAAATTTATCGCAAAAAGAGTGCTGATGTTTCAAAGGCGAGGAGACACGAAGCTGAGAAATATTTTCGAAATGGAGATTTGGAAAAATCTTTGATGTTTTATAGTCAAAGTGTTTTAAGAGCCCCAAATACAGGTAAATAAAATTAAATAGAAAACGATTAAATTGAATTCATTTAAATATCTGATGCGAAAAGTGCTAATTTGATGGCTCTTCTTATCAACAGTGAAAAAAATCTTCCATAGAAATTAAAAATAATCACAAAAATGATGACAAGATTAAAAATGATTTAAAATGAGCCCAAACTCGATGTGGTTATCTTTAAAAATGAGCGAGGTAATAATATTAATTATTATTATTAACCTCACTTTTTATTACTAACTTCCGGTTGTAACTTTTTTATTTTTTGGAATAAATACGTCGTGTTTGGACTCATTTTAAAGGATTTTTTATTTCCGACGTGATAAAATGGGCTATTTTAATACAACTCTTGCTTATTAAATAACTTCCGGTGTTTCTTAACCCTTTATGCCATAAAATTCGATTAAAAATTTTTAAATATCGATTTTAATCCCGATTATAATCGTTTAAAATAAGCTCCAACCCAATACGATTATGTTTAAAAGTAATAATAACTTAACTTCCGGTTATCAACTTCCGTTTTTTAATTTTATGTTAATAAATACATAATCGCGATTAAAAATGATTTAAAATGAGCCCAAACTCGATGTGGTTATCTTTAAAAATGAGCGAGGTAATAATATTAATTATTACTATTAACCTCACTTTTTATTATTAACTTCCGGTTGTAACTTTTTTATTTTTTGACATAAATATGTCGTGTTTGGACTCATTTTAAAGGATTTTTTATTTCCGACGTGATAAAATGGGCTATTTTAATACAACTCTTGCTTATTAAATAACTTCCGGTGTTTCTTAACCCTTTATGCCATAAAATTCGATTAAAAATTTTTAAATATCGATTTTAATCCCGATTATAATCGTTTAAAATAAGCTCCAACCCAATACGATTATGTTTAAAAGTAATAATTAACTTAACTTCCGGTTATCAACTTCCGTTTTTCAATTTTATGTTAATAAATTCATAATCGCGATTAAAAATGATTCAAAATGAGCCCAAACTCGATGTGGTTATCTTTAAAAATGAGCGGGGTAATAATATTAATTATTATTATTAACCTCACTTTTTATTGTTAACTTCCGGTTGTAACTTTTTTATTTTTTGGAATAAATAAGTCGTGTTTGGACTCATTTTAAAGGATTTTTTATTTCCGACGTGATAAAATGGGCTATTTTAATACAACTCTTGCTTATTAAATAACTTCCGGTGTTTCTTAACCCTTTATGCCATAAAATTCGATTAAAAATTTTTAAATATCGATTTTAATCCCGATTATAATCGTTTAAAATAAGCTCCAACCCAATACGATTATGTTTAAAAGTAATAATTAACTTAACTTCCGGTTATCAACTTCCGTTTTTTAATTTTATGGTAATAAATTCATAATCGCGATTAAAAATGATTTAAAATGAGCCCAAACTCGATGTGGTTATCTTTAAAAATGAGCGGGGTAATAATATTAATTATTATTATTAACCTCACTTTTTATTACTAACTTCCGGTTGTAACTTTTTTATTTTTTGGAATAAATAAGTCGTGTTTGGACTCGTTTTAAAGGATTTTTTATTTCCGACGTGATAAAATGGGTTGTTTCAATACAACTTTATATGTTAGAGACTTTTTGACACAAATTAACTAATTTCTTATTTTCTTTTAGGTGAAAACATTCACGTCGATGATGGTTTATCATTAACCCTATCATTATGGGGTCGATCAGAAGTTTTAATGAGATTGGGAGAATATTCTTTAGCATTACGAGACATTCAAACGGCTTTAAAAGAGAACATAACCGATAAAGCCGAAGCTTTCCGTCGAATGGGAATTTGTTACAAAGCCATCAACGAATTGAACCGGGCGAGAGTGTCATTCAACATAGCGGCTAAATTGCTTCCAGAAAATGAGCTCGAAAGTCTTCGAAACGATATTGATAAAGAATACAAAGAAAATAAACACGAAAATCGCAGAGTTATGCCGTTTGTAACTAAAAAACATCCCGATTACCCGAATGCGACGAAGAAAATGTTGGTTAAAGAAGAAGAGGGTTTTGGGAGATTCGTTGTTGCTAAAGAACATATTAAAACTGGAGAGGTTATTGTTGTTGAGCCACCTCATGCTTCTTGTTTACTCCCGGAATGTTTTGGGACGAATTGTCATCATTGTTTTGAGCGATTAATTTCTCCTGTTGGATGTCCAGAATGTTCGAATGTTGCGTTTTGTAAACCCGAGTGTCGTGATATCGCTTTGTCGAGTTATCATCGTTTTGAATGCAAATTTATTGATTTGTTGATCGGATCCGGTATGAGTATTTTAGCCCATACTTGTTTGAGGATGATAACTCAAAATAGTTTAGAAAAAAACTTAAAAATCCATGAAAATCGCAGCTTGGAGCAAGTTTATTCGTTATGTACAAATTCAAGTTTGCGACCACCAAGAGATTTTATCCAAAGAACCATAATGGCAGCGTTTTTGTTGAGAATTTTGCAAAAAAGTGGATATTTCGGACGCGAAGATGAGGATAATTGTATTCCGACGGATGTTGAATTTAAAATCGGAGAGTTAATTTTGTTTTGTTTACAAATGTTGCAATTTAATGCGCACGAAATTTATGAAACTCGAATCACTCCTCAGCACAGATTAAGAGGATCTCGAGCTTCTTATATTGGAGTTGCAATTTATCCTACGGTAGCTTTATTTAATCACGATTGTTATCCAGGAGTTACGAGGTAAGAAGCTCAATAAAAGGATTAATTAATAATCTTATCATAAATCGTATTAAGTAATTAAAAAAAAATAATTTAATTTTTAGATATTTCGTTGGAAAAAACATCGTAATAAACGCAGTGCGGCCAATATCACCGGGAGAATTAATAGCAGAAAATTACGGCCCCGTTTTTACCCGCCGCCCTTTATCTGATAGACAAAAATCTTTATCTGGGAGATATTGGTTTACCTGCCAATGCACCGCTTGCACTCAAGATTGGCCAACATACGAAAACGGGTTAGAAACGTATCCGCGAAAAATCCGCTGTCCAACTCAAAAATGTTCCTACTTTTTTACATTACCCGTTCAAAACGAAACGATGAAGTGTCCCCGTTGCAAAAAGAAGGTGTCTTTAACCGATAACATCTTGCAAATGAAAATATGCGAGGAACAACTCCAAGCGGCGTTCGAACTTGTTGAAACGCAAGAACCCGAAAAGGGAATACCATTGTTGAATAATGCGATTGAATTGTTTCATAAAGTTTCGACTCCTCCGCATAAAGATGTTCATATTGGGCAAGAAGTTTTAAGATCGTTTTTAGCCGATTCTGGGAATGTACATGTTTGTTTAAAACCTTATCCTGATTCTGAATAAAATTTTTTTCTAAATAATTTGATTTATTAATTAATCATTTTTAACGAAACCTCTCTATACAGGGTGTCCCGTTAAGCGTACGGAGCGGCTGTATCTCTAGAACGGTAAGGTTTGGGAAAAAAATCCTTTTAACCAAAGTGGGCAAGACAAATAGCCGGAAATTATTTTGCAGTTCGTAATTCGACCCCTAGGGGGCGTAACTGCCATAGAGAAACATAAAATTCCCGCTATCTCAGAAAGTTAGACGATGAGCTATAACTTTGACAACATCATTTAGTAGCTTCCCTTTCTGATAACCTAAAAAAATACAGGGCGTTCCATTTAAAATTTTCAAGTTCCTCACAATTGAATATGGAGAAAACAGTAATTCAATTTTTGACCACCCTGTATCAGATACTCCGATACAACAAATGACAATCCATTTGACAACATCTGAAGAGTAATCGTGCCAATGTAGATCTTTTTTGAATGAACATTGCCTGAGATATGGGGTACAATTAAACGGTGTAATAAAAACTATAGCATTCAAGCTTTTAAATATACAGGGTGTCTCACGTAACTGGTTCGTTAGGACTTTTTTAGGTTCCACTATTCGTAGAGGTTTGAAATTTTGGTAGCATGGGTTGTTCATTTTAAACTTTCGATCTAAAATATTTTCAAGATGGCCACCCCTTCCGGTCTACCGGAAGTAGACCACAACTTCGTTATTTTAAATAGAATGCTATAGTTTTTATTACACCTTTCAATTATACATAAAAAAACATGTTGACTTTGATAAAAGTTGTTGGTACCTACCATTTTTGGTTTTCGAGTTATTTTGATTTTAAGCTTTTTTTGGCAAATTTCACCATGCTCTTTAAAAGTCTATATCTCAGTTAACGTTCATTAAAAAAAACTCTAAATTGGCACGATTACTCTTCAGATGTTGCCAAATAGATTGTCATTTCTTGTATCAGAATATCTTATACAGGGTGGTCAAAAATTGAATTACCGTTTCTCCATATTCAATGGCTAGAAAGTCGAAAATTTTAAATGGAATACCCCGTATTTTTTTTACCCTATCAGAAAGGGAATTTAATTCTCTACAAATTATCTATAAACATTCCTATACCTATTTATAGTAGTTTCCCTGATATTGGAAAATTAATCAAAATCAGACATAAAATCCCAAAGCCCGTTTGTGTTTTTGTTAGCAGGCCAAGACATTTTGACAGTTCATCGTTTAATTTATTTAAATTATGCTATAAAAACTATAACTTCAAAAAGTTTTAACGAACCAGTTACGTGAGACACCTGTATACAGGCTGTCCCGTTAAGCGTACGGAGCGGCTGTATCTCTAGAACGGTAAGGCCTAGAGCTTTGGGAAAAAAATCCTTTTACCCAAAGTGAGCAAGACAAATAGCCGGAAATTATTTTGAAGTTCGTAATTCGACCCCTAGGGGGCGTAACTGCCATAGAGAAACATAAAATTCCCGCTATCTCAGAAAGTTAGACGATGAGCTATAACTTTGACAACATCATTTAGTAGCTTGGATAATACCGCATCGCTTTTGTTTTGCAATATTTTTCATATCTGTCATAATAAGGGAGGGGGAGGCCAATGCGTTTTCAAATGTTTACATTTTAATATCTCCTGGACCATTCAACCGATTTGAATATTTT